CAGTGTCAGTGAATATGGTACACATACTACCGCATGAATTCTAAGCTGGAGATGAGAACCAAGAGGGACAAGAAATTGACCCAATTCCAGTCTCTAGTAAAGACTCACAAGTGAGTATGGTGCAGGATGAATCCAGAATGGCTACCCCAATGGAAACTGAATATGAGAGTGAAGAAGAGGTAGGCATTAACCTCTCATATCCTTTTGAGTATCTCTCGAATTCTATGACACAGCATGTCAAGTCTTTGTATATCAAGGCCTTTTTTGATGGGATACAATTGAACCGAGTCTTGGTGGATAATGGGGCAGCGGTGAACTTATTACCAAAATCTTCTTTGAAGAAACTAGGGAAAAAGAATCCCAGGTTAATCCCAACCATCACAACCATTGCTGGTTTCACTGGAGACAGACAGATAGCTCAGGGAATTCTGCCCATCAACCTGAGTGTGGGAACCAGGGACTGCATGACGGCATTCTTCGTGATCAACAGTAATGCTAAGTACAATGATTTACTTGGCAGAGATTGGATCCACACTAACAAATGTGTGCCTTCCTCTTTGCATCAGAAAATAATAATGGCCTTAGGCAATAGAGAGACAGAGGAAATTGATGCAAATCCTCAACCTTTCATAGCCTGCGCAGACTTCGCAGAGGCTAAGTTGTATATTGAGGGAGTGACACCACTCAGTATACTGAGGAAACCTGATGGCTCAGCCGAAATGATGACTGATGAGGAGGTAACACACCTGAAGCACTTAGTCCAGGAGAGTGCTGATGAGGAAGTTGTCGTTAAGGATGACAATGATGCCTCGTTATAGGCAAAGAGAGGAAGCACAAGAAGCCAAGTCTTTGGCTCTAATTAAGTTCTCAATATTGGATGTAAAATCAATAGTCCAGAAAGTGTAAGAGCAAGAGAAAGAAGCCATGATAATTGGCTGCAAGTAGGAGCAGCAACAGGCCAGAGTTTTGGGCCTTGATAAATACTGTGCATTGGACATTGAAACAAAAGTCCAGAAAATACAAGAAGAAGAAGCCTTGTGGACAGACTTTGTCTATGAGGAGGAGGGTAAAGATATTGAATCAAAGAACCTGGGAGTAGAACACAGCAAGGAGATTGCTTCGAAGCCAAAAGGAATCAAAGAAGGAGTTTCAGTAAGTTCTTAGATACAAGACCCCTTAGAAGAAATAAATTTAGGGGAAGGTTCTGTACAACAGCCGATTTATATAAGTGCTTGGTTGAATGCTCTTGACAGGAACCAGTTGTTGGTTATTCTGATGAGATATAAAGATTGTTTTGCATGGTCTTATAATGAACTACCAGGATTGGATAAGTCATTAGTGGAACATAGGCTCTCTATGAAGCCTAATTTCAAGCCATACAAGCAAAAATCAAGAAAAATGAGTCCAGAAGTGATTCAGAAAGTTAAGGAGAAAATTCTTAGACTACTCAAGGCAGGCTTTATTAGGACAGCCAGGTATGTTGAATGGCTATCTAATATTGTGCATGTAGTTAAGAAGAATGGTAAAATGAGGGTATGCATTGATTTCAGAAACTTAAATCTAGCAACTCCAAAAGATGAGTATCTTATGCCTATAGTAGATTTGTTGGTAGACAGTTCAGTAGGGCATCAAACTTTATCAATGATGGATGGGCACTCTGGTTATAACCAAATCTGCATTGCAGAGGAGGATGTTCACAAAACAGCATTCAGATGTCCTGGGAATATTGGCACTTTCGAATGGGTTAAAATGCCATTTGGTCTGAAGAATGCTGGGGCTACATATCAAAGGGCTATGAACATTATCTTTCACGACCTCATTGGAGGGTATTTAGAGTGTTATATTGATGATATTATAGTTAAATCCCAATCCATGGAGGAGCATCTGTTTCACTTAGAAGCAACTTTCGAAAGAATGAGAAAGTTCAAGTTGAAACTCAATCCTCTTAAGTGTGCTTTTGGCGTATCATCTGGAAATTTCTTGGGCTATTTAGTACACAAGAAAGGAATACAGATTGACCAGAATAAAGCCAAAGCCATCATTGAAGCCAGACTTCCATCAAGTAAGAAGGAATTACAAAAGTTCCTTGGACAGGTTAATTTTCTTCGAAGATTCATTTCTAACACTGCAGGGAAAACAAAAGTATTTTCTTCCTTGTTAAGGTTAAGAGATGAAGAGGAATTTGTGTGGACAGCAGAGCATCAAATTGCTTTCGAAGGAATCAAAGCCTACTTGGCCAACCCTCCAGTGCTAATGCCACTAAAGGGTGAGAAGCCCTTGAAGTTATACATAGCTGGAGTAGAGGATTCATTGGGAGCTTTCTTAGCCCAAGACAATGAAGAAGGCAAGGAGCAAGCTGTTTATTACCTTAGTAGGTTTTTAAATTCTTATGAATGTAAATACTCAGTTGTAGAAAAGCTGTGCCTTACATTATATTTTGCTGCAATGAAATTAAGATACTATCTTTTACCTTTCAACTGTCTTGGTAATTGTAACCACAGATTTGGTTAAGTATATGTTATCTAGACCTATATTGAGGGGAAGAATTGGCAAATGGATACTACCCTTATCAGAATTTCATTTAGAATATGTTTCCCAAAAGGCAGTAAAAGGACAAGTTTTAGCTAATTTTTTGGTAGACCATCCTTCTCAAACAGAAAGCCAAGAGATAATGAAACTTGGTATGGCTAGTGTTGAGCCATGGCAAATGTAGTTCGATGGATCAAAAGCCACTGGCCTAACTGGAATTGGCATAGTGATTAAGTCACCACAAGGAGTAGAAACCACACATGGTTTCAAAGTGGATGAAATTATTTGTTCTAATAATCAAGCTGAGTATGAAGCCTTAATAGTGGGACTGGAAATTCTTATTGGATTACAAGTTCATGCAGTTGACATATTTGGAGATTCTCGAATGGTGGTTAACCAAGTAAAAGGAATTTTCAAATGTCAAAGTATAAGCATGTTGCCATACTATGTTGTTGCATTACATCTGTTTTCTCAATTTCAAATAGCAAATGTAACTCATATCCCAAGATTTTTAAATAATAGAGCTAATGATGTGGCTCAGAAAGTTTCGAATTTTAAGAGAAGGGATAATGCTCAAAGGGACATAAGCCAAACAACATATCAGAAATTAATACCACCCTTAAATAAAAGGAATATGGTCCTGGAAGTCAATCATAATGACTTACAAGAACAAGATTGGAGGCATCCAATAATGCAATATCTGGCTGGCCCATCTTTGAAGGCCAGTAGAAAAATTGAATTACAATCCATGCAATACATTATATATGGTAATGCTCTCTACAAAAGGGGGGGGGGAGATGGTCTATTGTTGGAATGTTTAGGCCCAAAAGAAGCATTGACAGCTATGGTTGAGGTTCGTGAAGGCATTTGTGGTGCTCATTAGCCTAGTGTGAAGATGAAATAGTTGATTCGAAGACATTCATACTGTTGGCCAACTATCCTTAAAGACTACATAGAATATGCAAGAGGTTGTCAGGCATGTCAAAAGCATGGTACAATAAGGCATGTGCCCATAACAGACTTGCATGCAGTAGTGAAGCCTTGGCCATTTAGAGGATGGGCCATGGACATGATGGGGAAAATACACCCACCTTCTTCGAAGCATCATTGTTTCATTTTGGTGGCCACTGATTACTTCACTAAGTGGGTCGAAGCTAAGCCATACAAAACTGTAGACCAAACTGACGTCACTGGATTTATTAAGGATTTAGTCCATAGATTTGGTATCCTACAGACTATAACTGTTGATAATGGGACGGTATTCGATGGGAAAATGGTGAAGTCTTTTATGGTAGAATTTGGAATTAGCCTTGTTAATTCCACCCCCTATTATGCACAAGCTAATGGTCAAGCTGAATCATCCAATAAATCCTTGAAAAAAGTAATACAAAAGGTTGTGAAAGACAATCCTAGGGATTGACATAACTTATTGTTGGATGTATTGTGGGCTTATAGAACTTTCCCAAGGTCAAACACATGAGTCACTCCTTATGCCTTAGTATATGGGCATGATGCAGTGTTACCTGTGGAAATTAATGTTAAGTCCTTGAGGGTAAGATGCCAAGACCAGTTAGATCTTGAGCAATACCATCAGAGTATGTGCTTGGAATTAGAAAGCATAGATGAGGCTAGAATTCTGACATTAAATAGCATTCTTTTTCAAAAAAAGAAAGCAGTCAAAAACTATAATAAAAAAGTCAAATACATTGGCTTTGATAAAGGTGATTTGGTATGGAAGACAATACTCCCAATAGGGATTAAAAGCCATAAGTTTGGCAAATGGTCACCTAATTGGGAAGGACCATATCAAATTCATAGAGTCCTGTCTTTTGGAGCATACCATTTGAGAAATTTAAATGGATACATACATCCCCAAAAGATTAATGGCAGACATTTGAAGCCTTATTTTCTAACCATTTGGGAAACACAAGAAATAAAGCAAACATTAAGTATAAGAACACAAGAATACTCAGATGATAAATAAGAATTTGTTCTTCATAAAGAGTTGAATACATTCTGCCATAAATTGGCCCAGAAATCATTACAATGTCTCAGTTGTTCTTTTACAATGGATGTTCTATTCTTAAAAGATGAGAACAACTGGATGGCTGTGGTTATTTCCTACTTTCGGTCAGCCAGTCCTTGGTTGGTGATCTGCAGTTTGGTGTCAGTTCGGATTAAGACCTGGTTCACTACAGATAGCTCCTCCTCAAGTTGAGCTTTCCTCTCCAGTAGTTGAGTTCGAAAATGGGAGACAGAAGAATGTTGTTTCTTTAATTCTGATACCTCAGTATGCACTGTGGAAACAAAGCTCTGATCTTCAACCAATTTCTCCTCTGCAGCCTTGGCAGCATGGCAAATGTTGATATAGAAGTCAATAGTGGCTGTTGCCTGAGATAAATGACTTGAGACAGTCATGCCAGATTGCTCAACAATCTTGCAGCATTGAAGGAAACCATTTCTTATTATAGGTCTTTCTAAGGCCTCGAAGGGAATCCTCGAAAAGGATGTCAATAGCTCCAGGCAGTTATCCAAGTCTATCAGAGGTGAAGAAGGCTTACTACTGGAGGAAGAGCTCTAAAAAATTTCTAGTAAAGAATCAGCCAAAACTAACGGCTTAGTCTCATCACTAACCATTGGAGAGGTAGAAGACAGGTCGAAGAGACTAGCTAGTCTTGCTTCAAAAATGTTTACCTTATCTGTGGACACGAAGGGGGCAGAAAGGGCTTTGGTGGAAGGCACAAAGGACTGCATAGAGATAGGAGAAATGGGTGGAGCATCTTCAGCAGTCTCTATGGTTCTAGCCACCAATAAATCAAGGGAAGAAGGGCTGGAACTAGGCAAAAGTAATAAACTACGAGTTGGAAAGCTGTCAGCACCCTCTTTAGGAGAATCAGCTACCATCGAAAAGAAGGTAATAGCTAGAACTTCCTTAGGAGGAGAAGGAAAAGCAAGGCTCGAAAGAGAATTAAATTGAGATAGGTCAAAAGATAAGTAAGGAAGATATGGAGTTAAGCCAAAAGAAAGTGATGCATGAATACTTGGCCTTAGGAAGGGTATAGAAAATATAGGGCTTGGAAGTGGCAGAATTATTTAAATGTTCTCCACATCTTGAGTTTGTTCCACTTCAACTGAAACTGAGGTAGTCCTTATTGGAAGAACAAGCTTAGTAGTTATTGCTGCAAAAGAATAAGTACAAAGTAATGTCAAGCCTCAGTACCTAAAATCTGGCAAGGGAAAAACAGTAGAGGCTTAAAAGAAGTTACTTGTTTCAAAAGTGATAACAACAATAGGAGAGCTACGAAGGGAATAATGCTCAGCAATATATTGCCTTATTGCAGTTTCCCTTTGGATTGCATCAGCAGAAGCAGCTTCATCTCTTAAGAATTGCTGCTACTATCTCTTCTCAGCTCTCTCAAAAATAATTATGGCCTTAGAATGTTCCTGCTCCACTGCCTTGGCAGCTGCCTCATGAAAAAGGTCTTCGACCAAATCAAAAGGGGAGACAGTCATCTTCCTTCTCTTTGTTCTCTGTATTGGTGCTGCATGTTCCTTCTCAATTTCTCTTTCTTCAATCTGGGATTCAGATTCCTCAAAAGTGAGTTCCTCTGCTACTACTCTGGCAGTTGTCTCATGAGTAAGATCTTGAGCCAAATTAGAAGAAGAGATAGTTACTCTCTTTCTTCTTTGTAAGAGTGTCTCTTGCTCTTGAGCTTCTTCTTCTTTTTCTTCTTCTGCCAATTGAACTTCATGTGCTTTCTTGACAGGATCAGGTAAGAGTTTCCTTTTCTTCTTTTGCTATTTGCTCCTGAGGAGATGTAAAGCTTGGGTTTTTTGAGGAGAATCTCATTGTGAAGCACCCGCACCACCTTTACAAAGAAGAACAAAGGATAAGGCTAAGAAGCATTATAAAAAAAAAGACAAAATGAGAAGAAACAAGGGTATCTACCTTTCTTAGAAGCAGCCCGAGTAACTCTAGGAGGAGTGGAAGCAGCAGGAGTAGACTGTGTGGTGGTAGGAATAGGAATTGAAGTGGTAAGAGCAGTGGAAGAAATGGCAACTCCAGCTCCTTTGGGTTTGGATTGGGGCACATCTAGCACCATTAATAAGTCTTGAGGAGTAATGACCAAGTATACTTCCATGTTGGTCACCCACCAGTTTTGGTACCTCTTCAATGGGTTACCTTGAGGGATGAAAGGGATGTATTCAAAATCGACCCACCAGTTTTGGTACCTCTTCAATGGGTTACCTTGAGGGATGAAAGGGATGTATTCAAAATCGATCAAGTCCTATATAAACTTAGAAGTTGCCTCTTCTAGTCTGGACCTTCGAACCTTTAAATCCATGCTAGTAAGACTCAGATTGGTGTTACTGTAGAGAGGTATTGGGACCCCTTGTGAGAAGCCAAATTGTCTAGCAAATTCAGCAAGACAATAAATGCATTTGTAGGCTCTGAGGTTTATAGTCCCAATAAATAGCTCTCTGGGGATCAGAATAGAAGCCCATATATCTTTATGAGGAGGTGAAGCACAAAGCCTATCACTTAGAAAATTCTTTAACCAAGATGGGCCAATAGTAATGGGTTCGAAGGGACGAAAGCTGTAAGAATGAAGGGAAACTGGAAGTTGCTGGAAGAAAGAGAAGTAAAAAGCAAAGGTAGAAGGATAAAGTGAAGCATTGGCCAGCCTCATGCCATGAGTAGGAGGGTTTGGCTCAAAAAATTTAAGGCATTTAGACTGTAGCTCAGCAAGATAAGCAAAAAGCCAAAGCTGAAGTATCCAAAATGGACCTCGTTGATTGGTATCTAAGGGTTTCTCATAGAAAAGAGAACAAGCTCTATATACATGACCTAGAACATATGGGGCTAAGGCCACCTTTTTCTGTAGGACAAGAGCTTTGGTAAGAGGGGCAAATTCAGGCATAATTCTTTGAGAAGAAGTGCAAAAAAAAAAAAAATTGCAAAGCCAATATAATATGAAAGAAAAGCATTCCCTATCAGTTATAGGGCCCTCCCTTTTATTCCCGGCCTTGACAAAGTCACTGTAGGATGAGTTAAGGAAGGGTAGGGAAAATGGGATTGGTGAGTCAGGATAATCTGGTCCAATGATGGCACCAATGGGAGACAATCCTAGTAGATGACAAATATCAAGAACAGTAGGGGCCATCATCTCACATCTGAATTGAAAAAAATTAAAAACAGAATTCCAGAAGCAAAGGGCAGCAGGATAGGAAAGGGTCTTCTGAGATGGTAAACCTGGATAGTCGAAGGGCATCGAGAAGGCAGAGCTCTTGAAGGTCCAAAGTCCTAGCACGGACAACCCGATCGTACTATTCTTGCCACTTCGGTCTCACCGTGGGCCAGCATCAGTGGGGACGATTCATCTTCCAGGTACCCCAGTCAAGACCACATTCGTAAAGAAGACAGTGGTCTTCTAGACGTGGATATAACACTGGAAGCTCAGTAATAATCTCCTTGAAGATGGGCCCAAGTACATAGTCCTGTTGCTCATGACGTCGAGGGATGAAGATGCGTCCATCGATGGCGTTTTTCTCATCGGCCTTGTACTTTTCACATTCTACCTCAATGATCCTTTCTAGGGTTACAGACGGGCTCTCGCGCTCTACAACTGGTACTTTCAATGAAGAAGAAGCCATTGATTGAAAGCTTTCTCAAAGGATGAAGTTGGGAAAGGGAGTAGAGAGTCAGTAGCGATAAAGGGTTTGTGTGTTAGACAAGCGAGTGATTTCAAAACACGAAATAAACGGGTTTTAACAAAACTTTTGTGTCTGAAAAATGTATCGCGTAATTCGTTAAGTATTAAAAGTACAGATACGAAGAGCTTCCTTTAATATTGATACTTTTGGAGGAAAAAACACACCCCGATGTTGAGGCCAGCTTCGAAGTATAGTATTTGGCTTCGAAACCAGATTTTGTCGCCAAAAGTCAAATAATAAACGGCTTCAAAACTGAGAAGCCGGCTTCGAAGTACATTTCATACCTATGAATGTAAGAATGCTCAAGTATTTGTTTATTTTAAAGGGATTAAAGACCTGTTTTAGGTTTCTCAATGAAAGTAATGTCCTTCGAAGCAAAACTTGAGATCTCTTAAGGATAGGAATTGGTGTTTGAAACATCAAGACCAATAGTTGGTTTATATATATATATATATAAAAGATTGTCTTTTCAGACTAAAACAGTGCAGCCCTCAAAAGGAGCTTCCATATTTTTGAAAGTATGGACTGTTGTTCAAAGCAAAATGGTCAATTTAAAACAGATTGATCATACTAAATCATGACCATATATTGGTTATTATTGAAACAATTAAATCCAGATTCGAAGGATAAGATTGTGCAATTCGAAGCCCTAAATTTGCTTTTAAAGACAAACGGAGACAAGACCAAACAATGCCAAACAAATAAAAAAGTCTTAGTTGTATTAAAGCTAAAGCAAAAGCAATTACATCGAATGGTCCTTTTTGGGTACAAATTCAAGTTCATAAAAGTAAGGAATAGAATAAATAACAAGATCATGAAATTTGGTCTAACTATGATCAATGAATTTTTGTTATTTCTTTATTCTATCCTCTATTTCTTCTAGAATTGGCTGCATAAGTTGATGTGCTCTCACTTCATAAAAGAGCTCTTCAGTCTTTATTTCGAATGCTGTTTCTCTCAATTCTTGTTCCAACTCGTCTATATCCAAGTCATCCCAGTACGCAGAGTCTTTATTCTTGAAGTTATTGAATTCTTCAATGAAGTTCTCTGCTTCGTACTGGGCATAAATTCAAAGGGCGGAGAGTTGGTCCAAAGATTGAGTGGTGGCCACAGAAGTTCCATGCCAGTGAAGAAGCAGCGAAAGTTGGTCCAAAAACATATGAAGTTCTGCTTGGGCGAGGGGGTTAAGAACGTGACCCCGAGTCAGAATATCATAAGCCCATCGAAGGTTCTTGAGAGGAACATCGTCCTCAAGAACATTGAAAGGCAAATGAGAGAAGGCCGCAAGCAGAAATTGGGCTTGTTTCCGCTTAGCTGGAGTAGGGGAAGGTGGAGGTTTGTAAGGAGAAAAGACCTTATTCGCAGAGAGGGCAAGCCTCAGTCTCTCTGTTCAGTAAGGATTTGGTAGAGGAGGGGAGGTATGGGAGCTTCCATATCGGGAGAAGGAGCAAAGACAGAAAGAACAAGGGCATTAATATAATCGAGCCAGTCAGAAGAGCAAAGCTTTGCTTTCTGAGCTAAGAACGATGGATCGTACCCTTGTGCCTCTTCTGGGCGTCGGGCAGCGTGCACTATCTTTGTAGGCATGGAGGATGTGCACCATACTACAAGCAGATTCTCCTCCAAACTGCGTCGTCGGTCGATGGGCACGTAAGGATAAACCACCGAGCTTCGCGCATAGGAAGGAAACTCTAAAGGATCAGTGAACTCGACAAAATGATGGTTAATTCGCTCCCTCAAATCATAGGCCTCAGGTTTCGACCAGCTTGCCCAGTTAGAAGCCCTAGAGGAAGAAGAAGCCACATCCCATATAGAGGGTTATGAAGAAGAACTTCCCATGTCCATATTTGCGACTTTCTGAATCAAAGGATTAAAAGCAGTTTGTTCGTAGTCCAAGGGTGAGTCAGAAGAAGAACTTCCCATATCCATATTTGTAAGTTTTTGAATCAAAGGATTAAGGGCAATGTGTTCGTAGTCCAAGGGTTGATAATTTACAAAAGCATCTATGACCTGAATATAGAAAGGTGGTTAAAGGTGGCTAATTAATGCATGGAGGTTCTTTCGAGGAGAAACAACATCATCAGATGACTTTTTATGTGCTCGATCAATGGAGACGAAAATCGATTCGGCCATAAAAAAATATATCAGTCTGTTCGAATACTAAGGTGGTGGGAGTATTCAAAAGATTGAAGGAGAGTTTAATGCAGATGATGAATGGCAGTTGCATTTCTGGAAGAATGCAAAACCCATGCACGTTCTAAGACGTGGATAAAAGACCTAGATCCACTAATATCACCAAGTATTGGGTATATTAGTGCGGGGGGTAATGTTGGCTACATATTTTGTACAAGCCAATTACAATTCGATGAGTGGCAGAATATGGGTAATACAGGAAGACTATTCAAGTCTTCGATCCTGATCGTACAGGTGGCAGTTAGTATTGGTTATTACGAGATCTGAGTAGTAGTGGATCGACCAAGAGATGTAAGGTGATGTGGTTTCAACGGTTACTCTCATTTAAATTCAAATTTAAGAGGGAAGCCTAACTGCAAGTGATAACATAGTGACGCTAATTATAAGGCAACGTGATCAGCGATCATGGAGGAGCAGTTCGACGGGTAGAAATGCAGTTCGATGGTCATCCTTGAGAAGTATAAATAACAGAGAAGGCCCACAAAAAGGCCCCCAGACTCAGATATAAAAAACCAGTCTTATTATACTTATTTTCCTTTCTAGTTTTACATTTCTAGTCTGACATTTCTTGTACTTTAAATTCCTGCACTGCACTTCGTTCATAGGAGTAGTTTCAAGTAGATTGTTGCTGTAAACCTCTACGAGGCTAAGTTTGGATCATTGTAAGTTTTTCATTTTAATGAAATACTTCAGTTGTTCTTCATTTAATTGTTATTTTGTTTAATTCTCCTAAATTAAACCACCAGTAAAAGTCCTCTTCATTGAGGCTGAAAGAACTTAAACACAATCGTCTGATAATTGGTTGGGAATTAATTTTCTATAAGGACTGATTGATCCTTGCTGGCACGCTCACAATTACAATAATAACTTTCGAAAGCCAAAAAAACCAACAGAAGGGAAAGGGTTGGAATAGTGGATGAGGAGGGCAAGGAAATTATACATACTAATTGAAATATTTAAAAATTTACATATGCAAAATAAATTTAAAATTCATGAGATAGATAAATTTTGAAGATTTGATAACATTTTATACTGATTTTTATTTTATTTTCTTACAATTGATAAGTGGAAATAAGAAATACATTATTAAAGGGAAAGATCCAAGAATCAATTCCAAACATTAACACAAAGGGTAATTCAATTCAATCTACAGGCCAACCTCCAATATAGGAGTTTTTTAAAGTAAATTATCAATATGTCTTAATAGTGGGATTTAATTTTTAACAAATCCTATTAAAAATAAGTTTTAGTAAAATCGTCGCTAAAAATAAATTTTTGTGATAATTTTTTCCATATATCATTAAAAATTGACAGTTAGTGACTTTTTTTGTCACAATTTTATAAATCGTCACTAAAACTCATAATTGGTGACGTTTTTCTATGATTTTTTTTCAAATTATTACTGGCAATTGAAAATTAGTAACATTTTTTTTTATAAAATTTTTTTCAAACTATTACTGAAAATTTATAATTAATGACATTTTTTAATAGTATTTAATAAAAAATATTATTAATTATCATAAGACATATTAAGACCTATACATAAATCGCCCAATTTTTTATTTATCCTCCCTCCTCCTTCCTCCCTCTTCCTCTCCTTCCTTCCTCTCTTCCTCTGCGTTTTTTTTTTTTTTGAAAATTTATCCCCAAAACGACGTCGTTTTGGGGGCTGCTGGGTTTGGCTGCTGGGTAGGGCGGCCGTGAATCCGCGCTCTTATTTTGGAGGTAGGTCTCCCAACAATTTAAGGCCGGCCCAAAACCGCAGCTGGTCCAATTTCCAAACTCACCCACCAGCGTCCAGACACCCACTCCATTCCCAAAAAGCTTCTTCATCTCCTTCATCTTCCTGCTTGATCGCTCGTCCTCTGTGAATTCCCTATAAATTCTATATCTATTCTCTATCAATTAGTACCCAAAAATGGCTTTGAGGAATAGGAAATTTTGTCAGGGTACGATAATGGAAGGGTTAATCGGGTGGTCTCGATTCTACAGTTCGAATTCGAAGGTGGACTTGAAGAAACTGAGACCAATGATTCTGAAGAGGATTGAGAATAGGTCAAAGGACTACCCAGTGAAAGCCATGGTCCCTGTTGCGCAAGATGTCCTCAAGGCCAGAGCTCTCCTCATCCAAGGCGTCTCCACTCTCCTCCAACTCATCCCCGTCTTGTCCTGCAAGTACTCTCTCTCTCTTCCTCTCTCTCTCTCTCTATATATATATATATACATCAATTGAGATGTGGGTTTGCTTAAAATTGTGGTGAAGTTAGGAGTTTCCTTGTTACTTGGAATTTTACATTGATTTTGTTTTTGGGTTTAGGTTTATGTCTATGTATGATTTGATTTTGATATGTATTGCTTTTATTACTGATCCATGTTCTGACTGCAAAATTGTTGGAAATTCAAGTTGGTTAGATTTGATTTGGATAAAATGTTGCTTGGTCATTAACAATCTCAGGCTTTACTAATAAGTTTTAAGTGCTGAGCTCTGAGAAATTTGTGAACTGAAATTGTAAGAAGATTTGGGCTGTCTCTTATGGAGATAGGTTAGTCAAAAGACTGAAGTTAACCCACAAAACTACGCCAGAAGAAGATTCACATTTATCAAATCCGAATGAGGATTGATTGAGGAAGTCTATGAGATTATCAACTTAAATTTTCTACGAAACCTGAAATTTGAAAATATTGCTGATGTTTTAGGGAATTATTGGAGATGCTGCTGTTTCCATGGAATTTGATCTCAGATGCTTAACAGTTGTAAGTGGTTTAGCACCTACTCCATCGTAATTGGGATGACAAAAAGGTCTTTTTATTGCCTTTATCTTCTAGTGTGGAGGAAGGAATTATGTGCTCTTTTGGGTGGAAGATTAAATTTGATCTCATATGTACACCGATACACAATGATAGTTGGACATAGCTTTGCTAGGTTTACTAACATGTTTGGGCGCTAAAAAGTAACAACAAAATTATGGACAATTATGTCTGTAAACATCATGATTTGCCACTAATGCTTTCATTTACCAATATATTGTTGCAGAGTTTTGTTATTAAGTCACAAATTAAGGCATTATACTGTCACTGTAGCATATGTTTCACTTATTGCATTCTACTTGACTACGGTGCTACTCTATGCCTGACACTTTATTTCATACCTACGAGATTTGTGCATGTAGGAGCTTGCATTCATACATTTTTGCACTTGTGAGTTTTTATGAACTTGATCCATTTTTGTTTAACCTTACTTTTAACTCAACATAGTTTTGTCCAAATTGTTTGGTGTGTGTCATATACCTGCATGCCAAAATGGTGGAAAAGAGCACAGCAGCAGGACCTTTGGTCATGTTATAACCAGCAAGTCTGATTTTGGTCTAGTTCCATGTTCAACTTTTAGGTTCGATGAAACTTTCACATATTTACTTTGCATTATCTATCTGTTTGGAATATAGAACCATGTTCTTGGATGGCGATCTTATCCAATTTGGATTTCGTTCTTTGCAGATTTTGTCCAGAAGTATATATTGGTGAGCAAGGCCATCTAATTCGGACTTGCTGTGGTTACAGGCGTCACGCCAAGCACCACATTCATGAATGGATCAACGGGAGACTGAGTGACATTCTTGTCCCTGTAGAAACTTTTCACCTAGATAAAATGTTCCAAGGTGTAATTAGACACAACCAAAGATTTGATTTTGATCGTGTCCCCGCAGTTCTTGAGCTTTGCTGGCAGGCAGGGGCTGATCCATATGATGACAGTCTAAACCCTAGTTGGAATTTGGAGAGTGTTGGAGGTGGAGCCACTGGTGCTGAATATTTGTCTCCAGATGATCTTAGATTGGTAGCCATTGGAACTTTGAAGGCCTGGGAGTTGGTTAGGTCTGGGGTGCAAAAGCTATTGATGGTTTATCCGGCAAAGGTTTGTAAGTACTGCGGTGAAGTTCATGTGGGGCCATCTGGACACAAAGCTCGGCTTTGTGGGGTGTTTAAGTTTGAGAGTTGGCGTGGGACCCACGTTTGGAAGAAGGCAGAGGTGGATGATTTGGTCCCTCCGAAGATCGTATGGTACAGACGGCCTCAAGATCCTCCAGTTCTTCTGGATGAAGGACGAGAGTTTTATGGGCATGCCCCGGCAGTGTTGGATCTGTGTGTAAAGGCTGGTGCTGTTGCGCCATCCAAATATTTCTGTATGATGAAAGTGCAAGGTTTAACAGCACCTGTTTTGAGTTAAACCTGGATGCTTTAGTATTTGTTTTTGTCAGCGAGGTTGGTTTCGTGATACTCAGCACAAAATGAGGAGACCTCACAATTTCTCCTTCAAACTGGAGCTCGCTCAACTCACTTTTTCACAAGGCTGAAAGGTGTTGTGGTACATCTCAGTAAGCGATGCACTATCTTTGCATTTAATTAGAAAATATAATCGTACATGTTGATCTTTATTGTATTGTTTTTTCTTTTTTAACAATAACACTAAATTGAGTTCACAATTTTTACTTTGTATACATGTATTTTAATTGTCTCTGGTCTGGGCCATTGTTCTGTTTCTGTGAGACGGAATTTATTGTGCTGATCTTTCTCCCAGATATTGAATTATTTAATAAATCTGAGGATGTTCACAATGGTTATTTATTTATTTATTTATTTTCACAATGGTTATTTGTTCACAATGGTTATTGACATTCAGATTGGAAGATTGTTATTTATGGGCTGTAACAGAAAACAAAAACAGAGCAAATGCAAACAAGCATGTATGAATTGAAATTCATAGTTTATTTACTTTGTACATATTGATGTTGCATAGTTTATTCTTTGCATATCAATGTGCTTCAGTGAACATGCCATGTTAAAGCAGACACTACGACAAGTAAATATAAAATTAACAGCTCTCGATCTTCTCATTAAATCAACATATTTGGATAGAGGATATTCATCCTTCATTTCCACATCCAAGTGCCAGCGTGCCATGTCTTCCTTATCAAATTTCCAGCATTCTTCAATTTTTTGCTTCAGCTCAAAAAATCTTTAAAGTTCTAGTTCATTTCCAAGTGCCGCTGTAGAAACTGAAATGTCAAGTTTGTGATCGATAGGCAAGACAGTGAGATTGACTGTTACAATATCTTTGAAACCGTAATGATTGATTCTAGTGGACTCTTCAGTTTCGATGCCCTAAACCTTATAGTTTTGCCTAGCTACTTCAACCTCCATGAAGTCCTCAATCTTTTGTTTGAGTTCAAGAAAGGTTTTGGATGTAGGGAGTGAAATGATTGGCTTCACCTCTGCGCCTAAAATCACAAATGTCACTCCAGCCATGGCAATTTTTGTCGAAATCCCAAATTGTCAATTATTTTTTCAAGTAATTGAATTTGCGAAAGTTTTTAAAATATTGTTTGTTGTAAAGGAAGATTTCATGTTCAAAGGGTTTCATAAAGGGTGTGGCTTCTCTCCAGTGTACAGTAGACTGGAGCGTATTGTTGGGTCTGTGGGGTCCACTGGAAGTTCCGTTTTGATGATCCGAATCGTTGAATATGAAGAACTCATTGAGGACTTCATGCCTGCAAAAAATTATGTTGATCCGATATCAGAAGTCCTTTGATTGGAACACATTTTTGTCAATGATAAATATGATTTTTAAAATAAATTGTTAACAAAAATATGTTGTGATCAAGTGGTTACTGATATCCAATTAGTGTAATTTTTTGCAGGCATGAAGTACTCGACGGGCTTTACACGTTGAATAGTTCAGATTATAGAAACGGGACCCGTGATGGACCCCACAGACCCAACAGTATGCTCCAATATACACAATGGATTGGAGAGAAGCCTCTTCTTTTTGTAAATTGCATAGTTTATGTCACTTATCTTTAAATTTCATGCATGCAAATCTTTGTTTTTAGCAAAATGACCAAACAGTCCTTCCCTCCCATCTTTTGGCTGCCCATGATTAACCCGACTTAATTACCACAGCCAAATTAATCACCTTAATTTTCTTAAATCTACTGACCAATTCAACTTATAAATGTAATCAAATGCTCAATTCTGTCTTACACTCGTGCCTATACACCATTTCATGCGTATACTACAAACTAACAAGCAAAAATGCAGCCTACATGACCACCTTTCATATCATTCGTGATATTCTTTCTCTATCTCTCTCTCTCTCTCTCCCTCTCTCAATATGAAATTGAGTGACAAACATTAGCTATTGTGTGGAAAATATGAGGGTGGTAGTAGAGATAATGACAGGAACACTCTTCTACATTCAAGTGAGCGATAATGCCACGGTTGCAGACCTAAAGAGAGGGATCGTAGCCCAGGAAAGGCTCCCTCATGATCGACTCATCCTCATCCTTGGCAACAATCTGAGCCATTTGATGAATGAAAACGAGCTCTCTCTCGTGGATTATGGTGTTCGAGATGGCTCTCATGTCTGTCTTTTTATTGATCCTCTCAACGATGGCTCTTCAAATGACTCTCTTTTAACTTCGCTAGATTCAAATATGTATTAGATGAATCCCCTCATTGAAGAAAGCAAACTGAATGGAAACAACATTGGCTGGTTTTATTAGAATAATTTTTTCTTTCTTTTAATTTTTTCCCCCTTTGTCATAAAGATCTTTGATTAGATGTTTCAATTAGAAAATGCTACGAGAAATTTCATCATGTTTCAGCTTGACCTGGTTCTTGCATTTGCCATTAACAAAAAAAAAAACATCCTTAAGAAAATTGAATATTTGGAAAATATTTATGTTCTTAAGAGCAAAATCACTTAAAATCCGAATTTATAGTATTCTGGGATTTCTATCAGATATAAGTTCGAGATTGCCTCTGATAATGTCCCTTATCTTCTTGCAACCAATTTCCATCAAATGAAATTAAATCATTTCTTAACACACCCTCTATATTCTTGTGTGCCCATTTTTTTTTTTTGTTATTGCTAGGGATGCAATTACACATTTATAATCTTAATATTTCTCTACTAAGCTAGTCCGTATGTATTATTCTTTATATTAACTTCTACTAATTAAAATCGAGCCAAGACAATTCATTTGGTTATAGTTATTTAAAAACCAACAATTTCGGCATCTCAATATCCACCTCGACTCACAGTCCCTTTAAATACGTAGAGGCAATCGCCATCCTCAACACCATGCCAACGGAGGCTACAGTTGTCCCTCATAATCCTTTGTTTGTGAATAAATATATAATCATCCATCGGAAGTATCTTCCTCATCAGCAGTAATTCCCTCAAATCATTAATAGTACTCGAATCCTTCATTTCCAGAGGAATGCTAGCTGCATTAAGCAAACTAGACGAAGTTTGGACCACCAGGCTCAACTTTCTCGAAGGAGGGTCTGCTACTAACCGACTCATGGTTTTAAGAAACACGATGATTTCAGAAAATTCACAAATTCCATACTCACTCAAATTGCGAAAATCTTCCTCCATCTCTATCCCGGAAAAGAACAGAGTCATTCTTTTGACAGGGGTCCCATCGATTATATGGATTTTTTCTTTCAAACTCCGAACTGTCTCTGTCGTGTCAACCTCAATATTAATCTTTCTCGATGAAAATTTAACAACAATTTGGATTTTGCTACTATGTTCCAAAGAAGGTTGAGTGTGTTGTATAGTGAGATCAATTTTTGTACCTTCGGTGACAATTGGATAGTCTTCCAAATCAAGTCCATCAACCAATTCCCACCCAGAGACAGTGAGAGCTTGTGAGGCCACTGGGACTCCCAAGAGCTGCTCTACTTTCTGTTTGATTTGAAGAATGGTTTCTTGGGGACTCACTTCAATGTTAAATTCACATGTTAGTGTTAGAATGGTGATCCTCATTGTGTTTTTAGTGTTGTGTGATATCAGTTTGTACTTGGGACTTTCAAGGACTTCTCAGGACATTAGCTTTGAGGGAAAAAAGACTCATGTTACCAAAGGCTTGTAATGTGATTTTGGAAAGCTGTTGGTATTGTACTTTTCAGTTTGGGTGAAGTTTAGAATAAAATAATCATGTTGGATGAATGAGTATCACTATATGTGTGCCTTGTTCATTTTGAACGCATTTTCTTTGGCATCGGATTCTCTATTCTCAAATCCTTTTGTCATTTTATTCTAATGTATTTTCAATCATTAGATCATATGAAAATTTCGAAACATATGAATCTCGCTCTATAATCCAATGGTAATGAATGTATTGACAACAAGGAGAACAGAGATATTTGGGAAGAAAAATCCTTGCCTTTTTTTTTTTTTACTTTCACAAGTGCATGCAAAATTCAGTGCAAAACATGATTCCCAGCCATGGGTCCTCTGTCCCTCAATCACTCTGATTTGTGTGGATTGGCGACTCCAGAATTTTTTTTTGTCAATGATGTCAATTAAAAATTTAAACTTTATAAAAAGTGATATTATTAGTACCTGTTTTTCAATAATAAAAAAAACACAAAAATATTTTGCACTTATATGCAATTTGTTTCACAAATATCAAATCTGCCTCTCGGAAGGAGAAAAAATGTTCAGATTTAAGAGAAATAATAAAAGAAATTAACAAAAATTTGGCTTTATTGCAACTTTCCTACTAATAAAAAGTAAAGTGCATCTCAGGAGTGTGAATAAACCAACATTTCGTAAATCCTATATCATATTTATTTTTAATAAATCAAGAAAATAATTTAAAATTTTTAAGTCAAACAAAAGAAAATGAGATATTTCTCATTGAATTTATTTCGCCTCTTATGTATCTAACAAAATAAAAATTATGTATATATGTAAGACTTATCATATTTAAAAATTAGTGAAAATTACATATAATGTAAAGAGTGTCAGTGATAAAATGCTCTGCTGATATAAAGCTGTCCAAAGAAAATTTAATGTATTACTATTTTTTAAATAAAAAAAGCTTGCTAACATGTAGCTGAGATGTTCCGCTAAAGCTATGTTGGAATTTTGGCTAGACTTCATACTGTAATATCTTTTAATATTATCAAAAATTTTCTTTGCTGATTAAAAAAATATATATAGAAAACCAACCACAAAAAATATAAATAGAACAATTTGAGTAAAATTATTATTTTTATGGTAACTTTAATGTCTGATGTGTATATATCCCTCTCCCATTTTTCGTAATGAAAGAGATCCACAAAATTATTTTTTGATGTCTAAGGTCCCTAAACATATTACAGAGAAATTTGACCTTACCAAATCAAAACTCATCTCTCTCTCTCTCTCTCTCTCTCTCTAAACTTCTCGATTCTCAGACCTGTTCAGATCAGCTTTTGTTCCTCACCCCTGACTTCATTCTCCAGCCAATTGAGCTCCACCTTCATCGGATCCGACCCGTGCAACAAATTCAAGAACTCATCCGCGTCCAAACTCGGTGGCCTCTGCGGAGCTCGCCTCCTTGAACTCTTAAACGATCTTGACACCATCAACAATTGCTGCCGTTCTCGCCATAACTCAGTTTTGGTGCCACCGGTGACACACCTCTCATCTCCAGAAGAGACTGATGATGAACGGCTGGCTAACGGCCCGTCGCATCATGGACGCCATTGTTTTCAGCCAAGGCACGTCAAATTCGTCGATCGCAGTGTTCAGAGGTTGATCTATGTCCTCTTTATTATGGCAAACTGTTAAGCCCACTCTCAAAGACCTCATTCTCGGTGTCACTAAAGCTTTACCAACATTTGGCCTTCCAACAATGGCAACCTTTGAAAGAAGACAATCAGGGATCTGCAGATGGAATTTTAAAGCTCAAGTAAGTCACCACCACACATGCAATGAATTTTGTTTTCGCCTTTTTGAATGTTAAGCAGGTCCTGAAGTTACAGTATTTAATAATGGTATTAATTGATTCAGCATATAATAATGGTATTGCATCCATTCAGGTACTACATAAACTTCGTCCCTTTAACAACCCAAAATTTCCTTTTCACTTCAGCTTACTGTTTGAATAAATTTCTCTGGATTGTTAAGGGAAATTTCTCTGGTTTTGAGAAAATTTCTCTGGGTTGAAGTGAGTCCAGAGAAATTCTTTTCTAGTCCAGAGAAATTCTCTGGATTTCTCTAGTTTAAACTCAGTTTGTTTAATTTTCTCTGCCTTTAATTGAGTAAAATTGGATTGGACATCCACAATATTATGTAGAATCAGAGCATTCTCATTTTGATTCAGAGCATTCTCATTCTAATTCACTGAATTGAATTTCACTAATTCAATTGAAAATTCAAGAATTTCACTGAATTGAATTCAGTGAATCAGTGGACTCCATCTTAATCAGTCCAATTTTATAAAAGAATAACATTGAATTGAATTTTCTCTGGTTTGGACCAGAGAATTTCTCTGGATTAAATTAAATTTTCTCTGGGTTTGGACTAAAGAATTTCACGAGATTGAATTTTATCTGGTTGAATTTTCTCTGGATTGATGTTGAGGGACCTTAGACATTATAAAAATATTGAGTGTCCTTTATGCTATAAAATTATAATATCAGAGACCTTAAAAAAAAACCCTATATATATTGGTCTTCTTTATGGTTGATATTTTGATTAGTTACATATTTTTAAACTTATTAAAATGGAAAAATAAGTAAATAATCAAAAGGTGATATTTTCTGTGATGTATTCAATGTACTGAAGTTCAGATAATGAAGTTGAAAGCTATGGGTTCAAAGTTATCTTTTTTTTATTTTTTATTTTTTATTTTTAGCATTGTTATTTAAGATATAAAAAAAAATTAGATTTAATTTTCAAATTTAATAATGTGGTAATCAATTAGGATATTAAAGGTAACACTCTCGCTCATATCTTTCTTAATCATTAACTAATCATATCACTTACACATCATTGGATCTATAAAATAAGTCTAAAAAGTGAACTTTTATATCTTTTTTTTTTTTTTAAGATTGATGGGTTCAAAGCCATCTTTTAGTGGTGTGAATATATTAACATTTCCCTAAAATTCCAAAATTTATAGTTTTTTATTTTATTTTAATCTTCCACTGGGTTCAAGTGACACCACTTGTAATAAGCTAGCCTCGCCCTGTATGTGCTTATAATTGTATAATTATGTTTTAAAAAGGTTTGTATCTTGAAATTTTTATTACATCGGGTGATTGATAGTCTATTGTGATTAAAATATATATCACGACACCTTATGTTTAATAGTAAAAAAATTTAATAAGAAATTTATTTGCATACAACATTTTCTTTTTTTCTTTTTATAATCAGTAGAATCTGAATCTTAATGTTCACTCCTTATTATAAAAATTAAATGACCAAATTAATACAAGACCAAATTAACACATAGAAGAACCATAGATATAATTTTCCCTTATTTTCAACTTCTGTGGAAACTACCTAACCATGATCTATGAAGCACAGATTTGGGTACGAGTACTGATATTAGTACGATACGGATACGTCGATATGATAAAATTTAAAAAAAGTAAGATACGGGTACGGCTTGGTATGCTTGTAAAAAATATTTATTTTAAAATTTGAGCAATGCAAAAATTAATTAAATAGTTTAATTTGTTAAGATCCAACCTATAATACCAAAAGTAAATGTATAAATCAAAATTAAATGTCAATATATTAAATAATTTACAAACCATAGTTTAATTTTAAAATCATGCTAAGTATAAAACTAAAAATAATAAAAAAAAGGTCTAGTGAAACGAGTTTCATCTCTGTAGTAGAATAAAATATTATTTCAACTAAGGTACAGTACGGCCTGAGTATATATTAGGTACGTTTGGATATGCTAAAAATTAAAAAGAAAAATTTGGATGCGTGTTTCGTGTACCGGTACGTATGCAAAAGTACCATACGAGATACCATATGTCGGTAAATATCCGGTACGAGTACGACATATTTTTCGAAATACCCATACTTCATAGACTATGATATAAGCAGGGAGAGAAGTAGTCAAATTCAAACAACAGGCATTTCCATTAATCATGCCCTGAAACCAGCAATGGTAGCAAGTTTCCACATTAAACAATGTTTTTGAATTGGTCTGAGCTGGGGTGGTGATGGTCAGAGTGGAGATGGCAGTGGCAGGGGAAGGTTGTTGGAGCTATGGGTGGCGGCCTGAGCTGGTACTACTGGGGTGACAAGGAATTAGGAAATAGGGTCGAATTCACATGGGATCGGATTGAAATTTTATGATTTTGTAGAATTATAATTATAATTAAAAAAAACAATAAAAAAAACAATAGAAATATATTGTCCAAAAATATTATGGGAAATTGCATTTCAATTGAATAGGCTAAAACTGTGTGGGTGATTTTCCGACCACACTGCCCACTTAGTAACCAGCTGGAGAGCACTGGTAAAATAGATGGCACCTGACTGACCTGCAACAGAAAAACAAGAATCCCGCGGTAGTTTCGGGTACTCAGAAAATATATCCCCACAAAAACTAATCTAAATTTTAATGGTAGTGTAAATTTCTTGTGTACATGGCGGTGCAAGTTTCAATTAGGAGAATTTAGTCTTATTTTTCAAAATCACTCCCATAAAAATTCTATTTTTTTTTTCTATATTCCTTTTTAATCCTGTCAAATTTGATTATGAAAATGCTAATTGATATGTTACCGAAATTTTGTTTTCCCGTTCAGTTGAAGGGCTATTGGATCGTCGCTCATAATTACTAATCAAGATAATTACTATATGATTATGTTTTTGAGAGACACAGAACACTTTTAGAGGCAGATTGAGTCAATAAAAGAAGCGAAGTCTTTGGGTGTGAATGTGCAACGTGTATGCAAATTTGTGTAAATTCTTATAAAGATACGTAAGTTATTTTGTAAAGTTGCGTGACTTAAACACAAATTAAGGTAAGTTAATTTTTGAAAATTTGAGAAATTATAAATTCACGTAAGTTCTCACAAATATATGTAAATCACCTTACAAAATCGCACAAGTTAAATACAAATTTACATAAGTTAATCCATAAAAATTAAAAAAATCACAATTTAGCGTAAGTTCTCACAAACATACATAAGTCACTTCACAGAATTGTGTAATTTAACATGAATTCGTATAAGTTAATCCATAAAAAAGTATCGTAAATTCTCATAAAAATATATTACTTAAATCACAAAAATATTTAAATAAATGGCATATCATATACCTTATTATCTTAAAAAGAAAGAAGCATAAAAAGATTGATAATCTGATCTTATTAGTTTGCCATCAAAAGTGCACGATGAACCACGACCCAGCCTTTTATTGGCTATAAATTAGCTCAACTCTGTATTTTAGTTAATCCATATAGATCATTGTCCACCACCATGCTCATGATACAGGGATCACAATAACTCCAGTAGTTTTTTATTTTTTATTTTTTTTAATTTTAATTTTATTTTTAATTTCAAAAACAAATTTAATACTGTAGATATAAACAAGAGATGTGAGATTCATTTTGTGTCTCAGCAAAACTCAGTTTATCTTAGAAGGGGAGAATTAAATTTTCAAAACAAAATTTAGAGAGACAAACTATATGATTTGAAAGTCTGTTCAGTTGGGCCTTTGAGTCATACCAAGGGTCATATTTCGATAATCTAAATCATTTATTTTACGTTGTTCTTTTGAGTCATATAATGGGTCACATTTCGATAATTTAAATAATTTATTTTATAAATTTTTATGTATAGATCATTTGTTAAAAAAATCAAATTTATATAACAATTGTAAGTACATGATTTCATCAAATTTGTTTTAAAAAGAACATATGACAAATTTTAAAACAATGTTTATCATTTATTTTTTCAAATACAAATTTGATAAAATTATACAATTATCAAATCATTCTATTTTTTATAGATGATTTAATGCAACAATCTATAAAATAAATAGTTCAAATCAACAGAAAACACAAATCTAACGAGACAAAATTATGCTTCTCTCTAACTAGAAAAAAAAAAAAAACCAACAATGCTAAGAATATGGAAATCAAAATGAGATACAAAGTCTCACAAACGGTGAATTTTATATATAAATCTCATATTGAGTCCCACTATTGTGTGTTTGGTCCTCCAATTTATTTATAAAAAAAAAATAAAACTCAAATTTTAAAATGAAAAATATTATCAACTTACATTACTATAATGATTTTAGACCATCGCCCCAGTCGCCCCCCCTTAATCGTGTCCTTTAACTACTTAAACTTCACACAATCGAAAATTTGTCAAGATTAGGGTACATAATACTAAACATTTCATTTCTAAATTATCACAACATTATCTATGTTTTTGAGCTGTGATCGATTAAGTTCGTTGACCACCAATGAGAGTAGTTGGTGGCAACTTGATCCGTCGACCATCAATGAGAGTAGGTAGTGGCAACTTGATCCCTTGATTTCGTTACTTAATTATTGGATTAAAATTATAAAGATTCTTTTTGGATATATCAGCACATGTTTATGCATGTTATAAACTGCTACATGTTGAAAGGTCTTGAGACTGTCTCTCAATCATAAGTTTTATCATTTAATTTTTTATAGCAACAGAGTGTTTCCTTCTTTCTATTGGGTTATTTTTTGTTTTTTAAAAGCAATTGCAATCTTTTATTAATTTGTAATTCATACCAATCCTTGCTTTCTTGATATAGATATCATATTCACCAATCCTTTTTGCCTTGAGATTTTGTTCGTATCTTACTTTTCATGATTACTAGCTATATTATCCCTTTCTTTTAGTATAAATTAGTTGTGCATTTTTTTTTTTAATGTTTGGTATAATGTTGAATGAAAATCAAGAGAAAATGTATTCCATTGTCAAAGAAATATGAAATGATTCAAGTGAAAAAAATATTTTTCATTTTTTAAAAATATAAAATATTTTTTTGGGCAGTATGACCAAAAACACCGCAACTGCAGCCACCATCACCCTCACACAACAATAGTGGCACCAGCATTATTTTTAGGATTCCAAGCAAACATATGAAATTGTTTTTGTAAAAAATTGTTCTAGGAAAATATTTTTTTATAAGAAAAACACATTCCTAAGAAGGTAGTTTTTGTCCCAGGTAGATAACTTAAAACGGGGTGAATTGAGTAAATAAAAATAATTACACAATATAAATTATAATAATCAAAATATTCAAATTTCAACAAATAAAAAAATAAAGCAATAATAATCAATATAAAAGAGATAGGGAGAAAAGAAAAAACACAAAGGTTTATAGTGGTTCAGCACGTCGAGCTTACGCCTACTCCTCAAGAATCCTCCTTGAGAATATCTTTATTATCAATCAATTCAATATACCACCAAAGTTTTACCAAACTTGTGATTGTACACATGTCTTACTTTATTTGTTGAGTCTCATTCAATAATAAATATCTTACATTTACAAAATTCTCTCACAAAATAATTAATAAAGATTAGAGGAACTTCAACCTTCTTTACGATGATTTTTTTTTTTTTTTCTTAAAGAGTAGGTATGAAAGTGTAAGAATAAAGAGAATAAATGACAACACTTAGAGAATATCAAATCTGAAAGTGAAAGAAAAAAGTGAAAATGCAGTCGAAGAATAAAGCTTGAATGCTCAGATTTTTTCTCTTCAAATTCTTTATTTTTTTCTAAACAAAATGCTTTTTTTATAGCCAAAAAATATATTCGTTGGAGGAGGGTGACGCTTCATGCACGCCTGATGTATCCGTTGGAGAAGGAAGACGCTCCTCTTCTGACAACTCAATCACGCGGAAAGACAGTTTTTGCAACTCGGACACGCCGCTACAACCTTTTCTCTTTCAAATTTGCAAGCAGAAGTTTGAAATTATAGGCCAAAGACCATTTTTAATGAATAGTAAAATTTAAAATTATAAGTTAAAGGTCGCTCTTGATGAATAGTGAAATACTATTTACACAGCACTTTTCTATTAAAATATATGATGTACAGAAAATTCTATTTAAATAATATTTGTATTTGAATGCATTAGCATGTAGCAAAGCAGATAATATTTTGTGCCAAATGATGTAAAATATATATCATATAAAATCATAATATATCTAATATATTTTAGATATCACCAAAGTCAAACAATATGATTAACAGTAATGTTTTCCATCAAAACAAACACAGAGTGGCTGCTTCAAGGTAGACTTGCTGGTTGGTTGTCTCTGCACTTCTCCTCCTTTAAAAGGGTAAATTATCCACCGAAATCGAGAGTGATATGGTGCTTTTCACCTTCCATAGAAGGCTCATGCATACTTCTATGTTTCTTGTCTTGGTCGGATAATTCATTACTCATTCATGTTTTGGTCTTTCCTCATGCATGATTGAGTAAATTAAGGTTTTAAAAAATGTGGTTAGGTTATTCACAGAGAGACATTATATTTGTTTTGTCTTTTGGGGCTTCATTCTTCCTACTTTATGCTCTAAAAACAAACAAAAAAAAGGAGCCAGCAGCCATGCAACTTCAATCTTTCATTTTTCTTTAAAATAAAAAAAAAATCAGTAGTCAACTATTTAGTTCTGAGATATTATCAAGTCTTTATTTATAATCCATCATGGTGCAATCACAACTCTGAGCTGACAAGTTCAATGGCCTCAGCTTAACTATAAATATCAGATTTGTGTTGAATGCCCAGTATATCACAAGTTAGAACCATATAGTCATTAGTCAATACCCTTTTTAGACAATGGCATCTCAAAAGCTTTTCTCAGTTGTTATCTTTCAACTGTTGCTTCTTGTTCCTTTTGCATTAGGCCTTGCTAATGCAAATGGCCTGAAGCTTGGGTTCTACCACAAAACTTGCCCATCAATTGAGGCTATTGTCAAAGAGACAACTGCTCGATTTATTTCACGTGCTCCAACTCTTGCTGCTCCTTTGATCAGAATGCATTTTCATGACTGTTTCGTCAGGGTACTTCGCTAGGCACTAGATTTCTGTTTTTTATTTTTATTTATTTATTTTTAAATAATGCTATATAATCAGAAAAATTATTCAAAAAAATATTTAGAATTTAAAATTTATAGGACCAAATTTAGTTTGATTTGACCCCATAACAAGAAGTTTAAATTAAATCTAAAACAATTTAGACTTTAATTTTTGGACAATTTTCTAGATACATAGTATTTTTTGGTTTTCTTATTCATTTTACATATTTACGAAAGTGTTGTTTTATCATGCCGATTACTTACTCTTATAATGATAATGAGGTTGAGTTTGGCAATTACTTTTCAACAGCTTATTTATTTATTTTGTCTTTAATGAATTATTATTTTTCAAAATTTATAAAGAATTTTTCATTTTTAGATCTACGTTTGGTTTTTTGTATTTTGATGAGCAAAGCAGAGTTGTACTTGTGTGTGGGCAATTTTTTATTTTTTGAACGATGACCGCATTTTAGACTAGACATACCTAAAATGTAATAAATAAAAAAAAGAATTGACACAAATCTTAAAGGGGAAGTGATAGATAAGAGAGGATAAAAAAAATATTTATAAAAAAGTGATAAACGTTATAAATATTAATAATTATAATTACAATTTTTTTCATCATTTTGTAAATTATTTTTCTAATTCCCACTGATCAGTAATTCCCCCAATCTTAAAAACCCTTCCCTAAAGACAAAAGTTGAGAAGAAAAAAAAACAACAAAAGTGACTGAGCATTAGAATCAGTCTGATGAAAGAAAGAAAAGCCATAAAATATGCACATAACAGGATGATGATACTAGGGATTGAAAAGCTTTTTAACTCTCATAACGATCATCAATGGTATCAATTTTATCATAGCTAGTAAGTTTATAATCTGAGTTTTGTTCACAGGGATGTGATGGTTCAGTACTACTAAATTCAACGAAGAACAACCAAGCGGAGAAAGATGCATTTCCAAACCAAAGCCTGAGAGGATTCCAAGTTATCGACGCTGTAAAATCAGCACTGGAAAAGAAGTGCCCAGGAGTGGTGTCCTGTGCCGATGTCCTAGCCTTAGTAGCTCGAGATGCAATCTCACTGGTAATAAAAAAAACTAAACTAAACTAAGGCCTCGTCTGGGAACATGTTAATTTAGTAATTTTTTGGTTATTTCAATAAAATATGAGTTAAAAAAATTAGTATGTTTGGGATGACTTTTTAGCTTTTTACGAAAAGATGTGTAAAAAGTAGAGAGAAAAGAGAATCTTTGATTTTTTGGTATAAGTTGTTGACTTTTTGGTTAATTTAATAACTTTTTGACTTTTTGACTAAAAAGGAGGTTCCCAACTAGGCCTAAACTTACGAAACTTTCTCTGCCCGCTTCTTCAATTTGGTTGGTCTAACAGTCACAAAAAAACATATTTTTATTGATTTGATTTCCTGATTACATTGCAGATCCATGGAGCATTTTGGGTGGTGCCATTGGGACGTAGAGATGGAAGAGTATCGATCATGACAGAGGCCTTAACTGGTTTACCACCTCCTTTTGGCAACATCACTCTCCTCAAAGCAATTTTTGCATCCAAGGGACTGAGTGTTAAAGACCTTGCTGTTCTTTCAGGTAGAATTAAATTTTCAAAATTGACATTGAAATATTTGAGAAGAAAAACTCTGTTCTTACATAATGTTTATTCACAAATGAAGATCAAAATAATACAATAGTGTATTTTTGGAAAAACTTAAACCACGTTGATGGAATTTTTGTTTTGAAGTTATAAGATCAAAAGATCTTCCACCTCATTGTGTATTAATTTTCTGTATGAAAATTTTAATTTTTTATTGAGTAATGCTAGAATGATCGATTTTTTATATAAATTTACTTATCATTTGATGAAAAAAGTAACGTTATACAAATAAAAACTATATAGAAAATCAATATGCATGTAATAAGGTGGCAACTATTCAGCTTATCATTACAACAATAAGACTGTTGAATTTTTAAGATTTCCATAGAAACATTATTGAGGTCGTAAATTCTGTATAAAATTTATGTCAAAACATCAAGATTTAGCTTGAAGTGTTTCTTTTTGTTGACAGGAGCACACACCATAGGGATTTCTCACTGCACAAGCTTCACCAACCGCCTCTACAATTTCACCGGCAAAGGCGACACTGACCCTTCACTAGACCCCAACTACATCGTTCGCTTGAAGAACAAATGTAAGCCAGGAGACATCAAAACCTTTGTTGAAATGGACCCTGGAAGCTTCAAAACATTCGATGCCGATTACTACACTCTTGTTTCCGAGAGAAGAGGATTGTTCCAATCCGATGCAGCTCTTCTCGACGACAATGAGACAAAATCTTATGTTAAACTTCAGGCCACCTCTCACGGGTCGACTTTCATGAAAGATTTTGGGGAATCCATGATTAAGATGGGTCAAATTGGAGTCCTTACTGGTAGCTCTGGTGAAATCAGAAAACAATGTGCTTTTGTTAATTAATTAGATGGTTGTGTTTTCAATTCACAACGTTTGGTTTTTTGTATTTTGATGAGCAAAGCAGAGTTGTACTTGTGTGTGGGCAATTTTTTATTTTTTGAACGATGTGTGTGGGCAATTTGTATTATCGACTCATTTCTGTTAGTACTTTAGGCACAATTTTCTCTGTTCTTAAATTTATGAATTTTTGTTTTGATGTATTTTTGATAATTGAATTGTATTTCAAAATTTTCACATGATTTATTGAATAAAAGTAGGGGAATTTATTAAGAAATTCCCTCTTAAGTACTTGTATCTCAATTATGTCACAGCTCAATGGACACTATTTATTTACTGTATTGGCTTCCGCCAGGCCCTGTACTCTGTCTTACTGTATTACTGTTCTGCAGGCCTTCGGTAATCTCGGATTACTGGCCGGTTACGGTGCTAAACCCATAGGGCCGGGTTTGGGTCGTGACATAAGTACTTGTATCTCAATTAGTTCATAACATTTTCTTATATTCTAACAAGTTTTATTATTTGAACATTTGATCTATAAAATCTTAATTCCCATATTTAAGATATTTTATGAATAATTTTATCTTTACAAATGTTTTTTAAACTCTTAGCAATTTAGCGATGTGAAAGTGTGAATGTTCACATTACAAAACATTCACACTGTTAATGTGAACATGGACTTCACACTATTATTATTAAAGGTATTTTGATAATAATGTCACTCATAGAATTTATTGAAACATAAGAAAATAATTTAGATTAAGAAAAATACAAGTAGGTAAAGAGAGATTTATGAATAAATACACATAACAGTACATATATTAAAACAAGGAGATTGAGGAATTTAGAGACACGATATTTGGTTCTTTTACTTGTATTATTAATTATGATGTTATTAATTCTCTACAAGGTTCCAATAAATAAATAAAAAAAAAAAAAGAAGAAAGAAGAGTATTGCTATTCAGGCTCAAATGTTAGATTTATTTGTTAAATTTAATGATATGTCAAGAAAATAATTGGTTGATAATTAAAATTATCAACTAATTATTAACCAATTATCTTATTCACACATCACTAGATCTACAGACTGAGTCTAAAAAGTAGACTTTTATATCATTTTTCAAAAAAAAAAATTCTCTACAAGATTATAGTGCACTAATCATATCATATTGAGGAATTTAGAGAGAGCCGGTATTTGGTTCTTTTACTTGTATTATTGATTATGCTATTATTAAAAGTCAGTTTTTTGATTTTTTTTAAATATGTAAAAAAATAAATAAAAAGATAATGTGTCCTAAAAAATTAAAAAATTAAAAAGCTAACTTTTAACTCAGTTGCCAAAATAGGCCTAATTCTCTACAAGGTTCCAATAATAAAAAAATTATATACAAGGCTATAGTGCACTGATCATATCATATCATCATCATATATATATTATTAAAAGTAATATTTGCTCTCAATTTTTCTTTCTTCTATTTGGCACATCTTTTTTTTTTTTATTTATCAAAATGCCACACCGATATATCATTTTAATAAAATTCTTTTTAAAATTTAATATTTAAAAAACTTCTATTTAATCTAAATTATCCATAAACAACCTAATAAAATTGTACATACTAAAAATACATTACCAATTAATTTTATTATATTTTTTTCACTTTTTAAAAATAAAATATTAAAATTATTTCTTATTTTTATGTCTATCTTATTTATAATATTAATCATACTGAATTTCTTAAATAATTAGAATCACTATTAATCTTATAACAATTATTTCTAATATCAAGTTATAATTTACTATCATATGAATTTATTATGTATATTTATTTAAGTTACATTTTTGTAGCACGGAAGGTTAAAATTATCAATGAATGCTTCTTTTTTTGTGTTATAATTTAATATAATTTAAAATTATTATATATATATATATATATTTATTTAATTAAAACTTTAAATGAATGCTTCTTTTTTTGTGTTATAATTTAATATAATTTAAAATTATTATATATATATATATATATTTATTTAATGTATATTTTTATAGTATGAAGGGGTGGGCGCCGTGTCATGTTGGATCGTATTCGTGTCGTGTTATCTTAAATTCGTGTCAAAATTACCTCAACACTACCCCGACCTGTTTATTATTTCATGTTATTGTACTGCTTCATTTTAGATTTGTGTCCGGTTTGTGTTGTGTCAATGTGTCATGGCAAAGAATTTTAGTATTAACTGAAAATATCAAATGTATGAAAAAAAATTGAAAATTTCATCACAAGTTAAATTTAATGAAACTAATCTCTATTAAATGAAATTATTTATAAAAAATATCTGATTTCAACTTAATTTGATTTTCTTAATTTATAAAAATTATAATTTATTATTATTTTTTACTAGATTAACTCAAATAAAAAACAAAAAATACATTAAGTTCAATTAAATGCAAAAGCAAAATCTATATTAAACTTATCGCATTTTACATACTTTTTAATAAATTAGATGTAATTACGTAAGAGATTAAAAAATATCATGATTTAGTGGAAATAATATTAAAATGTATAACTAATTCTTTATTATACGGGTTATCCATGTCAATTTTGTATTATACAAATTTGGTACTAACCTGATCTGTTTAATATTCGTGTCATCGGGTCGTATTATATATGTATTCATGTTAGGAAATTGTCAATCATAACCTACTAATTTTGTGTACGGTTCGAGTTGTGTTATTATTGTATCGTATCGCAAATTCTTACCCCTAAATGATAAAGTTAAAATTATTAAAATATACACAAATAATTTACTTCAAAATAATTATTTGTGTTGATTTAAATAAGACTTTTATAAAATGATAAGACTAAAATTATCAAAAAAATAAAACAAAATAAAAAATACAGTTTACTTTTAACTCTTTTTTTTTTCTCTCTCTCCTATTTAGCGCATCTCCCTTTTTCTTCTTTTTCTTTTTAATTAAAATTCTAGATCAATATACCCTTACCAAAATTCTTTCTAAAATTTAATATTTAAAAGACTTCAACTTAATCTAAATTATTTATAAACAAAATTTATTGGAATTATACATATTAAAAATATTTTATCAATTAATTTTATTCTAGTTTTTTCACGTTTTTTGAAAATTAAATATTAAAAATATTTAATTGTATGAAATTTATTATATATAAAACTACTCATAAATTATAATTAAAAGTTTATATTTATTCATAATTTGATCCCACAATAATAATATACAACACTAATTTAAAAGTCTAAGTAAATTTATGATAACTTTTATGAGTTTGTAGAATTTCTCTCTTTTAATGTTTTGTTTAGTTTGATACAAGTTATTTACGTTTTCAAGTGATTGTAATACTATTATTCTCAACAATGTTTATAATTAATAATTTTTTATGCATCAAATTTTATTGTGAAATTTTATGGGTTAATTATTGTTAACATCTATCCAGATGGCTTAACATCATGGCTTATCGCTATTAAAACATAATTTAAGATTTAGATGATTTATTTATCACACAAAATATATATAATTCATTTTTCTGTGCATCGCACGAGTTACCGCTAGTATTATATAAGGAAAATGCATTTTTTAGTGAGAAGCCTTGTAGAAGCTTCAAACTTTCATTCTAAAATTATTGAATTTTCAATTTACAAAATTATTGACTAATATATTTAATTAATTATTAATTATTTTAAAAATAATAATTATTCCTTAATTTATGGATTTAAAATGGAAAGATAATAAAATATTCCATAATATCCCCCATCATAATCTCTCTCACCACTTTTCAAAAAATTAAAACCTTTTATCCCACTATTTCCCTTCTTTCCCCAGACCATATCTCTATTAAAAAATCATACATACCTTACACAATTCCAATATTTTTTTTAAATGTCATAAGCAACTTGCTTATCCCTAAAGTCATGCAAGAGAACATCACACCATTTTTATTATTTTTTTCTTAGATTGTTAAAAGTTAGTTAATATTTAATTTTTTTTTCTTACTCGTTACATTAATATTTTTCAACAATATTATTTCTCCATTCTTTTACACCACATCACTTTCAATCTCTTTTTTTTTGCTTGAAGATCTATACTATATATATAAGCAAATATAGTGGGTGTGCTCTTAGACCTCCAAATCTCTATTTTTAATTTCTTGTAAAATCCATTGAAATTTTAAAATATTATGTGGCACTTAAGTTTCAAACTCACTCCTCTCCCATCACTTCCATTTAAAATAAAAATTATTATTTTAAAAATTTAATAATATATCCTCTTAGAATAATAGTTATCCGAGTACAAACTTATCAAAAAAAGAAAAAAGAAAAAAGAAAAAAGAAGAGAGAGAAAGCTATCACAAAATTCAAAAATATTTGAATTGGAAATCTATATAATTATAATCTATATCTATCAATAAAATTCAAAATAAAGATAATTTAAATTTGAATATATAATAAAGATAATCTATATTTATCTATCCAATTTCACACCTCTCTCCTCCTCTATAAACAACTATATTTCAATTGATTATAAACAAATACAAAACTATTATGTTGCTCTTTCTCTTTCTCCCTTTCTTTTTCTTTCTGTATATAATTTTATATTGTTACAGATATTGCTGAAAAGTTTCACACATTTACATTCCCTGTCTCTCAATATATAATTTTATGTTATACGTATGGCTGAAATGCTCCATACATTTGCATTTTTTGTCTAAATTTTAATTTTACCAAAGGTTATAGAGTTTTTTTATTGCATCAATGTTGACTATTATGTACCAAAATTACAAAAAAAAAAAAAATTTGTGTGAGAAAATTATTTGTGTGTACCATTCTCATAATGAATTTCTCACCAAACTAAAAAATTATTTCCTATTTAAGAATTTTAGAGTAATTTAACTTAGCCATTGAGTATCTACTCTATTCTTTTGCTTAAAATTTTATCTTTCGATGATATTTTGGTGATGGGTTCACATCGTTTATATGTTTTTATGTAATATTTAATTTTGCTCTTTTACATTTGATATTAATTTTTTTTTAATAAGAAATTTTGTTTTGTTTGTAGGTTAGCAGTAGAATATTATTTTTATCATAGCAAAATATTGTTCTCAATTATAGGATACTTATTGATGTTTCTTTGCAATTGTTTTCGATTTATTTGTTTGTTTAATTGAATTACTTTTTATGTTTTTGGTTATCAAAGTCTCATAAAAAATAAATAA